TTAGCTTGTTTTTAATATATTTTGATAAACCCAATCGACTTTTCACTCATTCCCTAAAACCCTCCTTGCTCCAACCAATCCCCAGAGTATCTTGATGAGAAAAAGGCCCACTAGAATGTCAAGTATCCTAGCGATTAGTCAGAGAGTATCCAATGAGTCACATGCTTGTCAGGATTGTCGTCTTTTGGGACCAGCATAACTTCCGGAAATGCAGGAATCTCTAAGTGTACCGCGGACCCAGGTAGAAACGCTGGTTCGAAGTAGACCGGGTGGGTAAAGACTATCAGGTTAGGCACGGGCTTCGCTCCTTGTATCTACTATCTGCTGGTTATGGCTTTTCTGACCGGGCTGAAGCGTATAGGTCACAATGGATTTAGGGACGGAGCCCTCGATGGAGAATACTAAATGAAAACCATACTTGGCTGTGATTCAATTAGGTGAAAAATGCCGTTTTAAACTCTAGACAAATAGGGTAAGGAAAGCAACTCGTAGTCGCATGGACGGAAGAGGTGATGATAACCTGTTGTAGGCAGCTGGCGCGTCGGGCAGCTGTACAGGCTCGGGTAGATACGGGGCAGTGACTAGGTGGAATTCGAGTGAAAGCAATCAAATATCCGGACCAGCGCATAAGTTAGAACAAAGGTAGTCTTATGTCTGCCCACAAACGGATGTGCGTAGCATAGATGACATAATATAGCGAGAAGGCAGATGCGATGTTACAAAAAAGCCACATAGACCATAGACTTTATTCCATTCACTTATTAATCATAAAAGTTAAGGAACATTTGCCGCAGTACATTCTATCAAAATGACTAGCCATGAAAACACCACTGCCGCAGCTCTTGTTAGGACACTCCTTACGAAGTCGAACGACTTTTCCGTTGCTCTCGACCTTGTAAAATTTGAGGGTTGCCATCTTGATCTTCCTTCTCTTATGCTTAATCTTTTTTGGTGTTGTGTAGGCCTTCTTCTTCCTTTTTTTGCCGCCACCGAGGAGTTCGACGTTTAGATCAAGAGAAGCGTAATCCTGGAGCCAATCGCAGACAGGATCTTCATGTTTGAGCTCGCGTCCACAGTAGTAAAGGCATTGATTTGATTCAGGAATACCCAATTTAGTAAAGACTTTCGACTTTAAATCATCTAGGTTGTCAGCATGAAACAGGTGGGAGAAACACGAAGGATCACGGACAAAAAGGCGCATGGCTGAATTCAAGGACTGAGCAGCTCCGGCGCCGAAAATAAGTAACCAAGCGAACTAAAAAATATTTATTAATTATTAATCTATACTCCTTTTAATTAAAAAATTATTATATTATATAACAAAATTAATTGTTACCAAAATATATGGTACTGATACTAATTGTTTTTACTTGAAATGTTATTTAGGTATATATTTATTTGGTTGTGGTACTGTCGCGAAGTTCGAACGTCCTCCCAGCATGTTTTCTAGCAGGCCTCGGCGAGCTATTTTGGGTCTCATATACCATTTATCTCTTTTCTTTGTTTTGGGAATTATAATTCAGCCCATCATTCTAGTCTTTGGCTCTTTATCGTACCTGACATTTTACAAATCCTTTGTTCCTAGAGCGAGTCTCGAACTTAGCATCCGCTTTACTTTTGAGTATTAATCTATTTTTATCTATTTATACTAGCCCATTATGTCGGCATCGTGATGATTCAGTTTATTGCAATTTTCCTATTGCAAATTTCAGCCTTTCTGAGCATGGTCAAACGGTAGCTTTCTATAATGTCATATTTGTTTAGCTTCTTGGCTATCATCAGCCATATAAATTCTTTCTTGCCATCATCTTCCCTGACTCTCCCGCTAATCATGATGTTGGTGAGTTCTTATTTCTATATCAATTCAGATTCAGTTAATTAACTTTTTCCATAATTTATTTACAATATTTATACGTAAACTGGGGCCAATCTTCCATTATTATATCTAGGACGTCTATCCCATTTGTTATTAGCACTAAAACCTTTTCATACACAATTTAGAGGGTTATAGTACCCTGCTCTTTATTGGGCTCGCGCAAGCTTTTCCTATCGTTGTTTACTTCCTTGTTTTGTTTAATTTATGGATTCTTGCATGAGGGAGCGATTTGGGTTGTATTTTTTTGTTATAAAGTATTTTTGAAGCTTATAATTTTATTAAATTTTAGTCAACTTTCATTAATGCTATTTCTAATTGAGCCTACTTTTTCAATATTGCTTTATTTTTCTTAGATCTGAATATATTTTACTCGCACTACTTCACTTTAGCTGTATGTAATTAATAATTTTCAATGATTTTTTTGGTATTTATATTGTCTGAACATACGATGCTAAACGGGTAAAAGTAGATTTAGATTTAGAAATGATCTCGAAAGTCTGATTTTATTATAGTCGACCTGTCTTCATTTTTTTCACTGATTTATTGAGAAATTACCAAACCTGTGCAGATCCCCCAGATAACCGCAGTATCTACACAACATTAATCTGTTTAATTCATGCAAAATCCTCACCATATACATACTATTCGTGGCATTCTGTTCCACACTCGGCCCCAAGCCTTTGATAACATTTATCCTCCATTCTTACCGAGCAAGTCCTTAAAGTGCGGATTCTCAAATTGGATGCAACAGTGACTTGATGATGCAGATTTTTTTATCACTGTTCGGCATATTCACTATTTAAATCCCGTAGTCGAGCCTATACTCCACGAACCACGTCTAAGATTAGCCGACTATCTCTGGTCTCCACCGCATTTTTATCCAAACTCTCAAGTCTATGATCTTCCTACGCTCTATTCTCTTGTGTGCTAAACCTCAAATGTTATAGTCGTAGTATTTGCTGTTGTTAGGCTCATTGTAGACGTTTCATCTTCGCTTTCTATTGTTCCTCCGTGGCCTCACGATATTTTTACAATACTCCTTGATTTAGTCGTTTTCTTTTTTCGCTGATCTCTTGCTATTACCTGATCTCAGTTTGCTTACGTATTATACGAGGTTTCCTCTAATCCTGCTTTTTCAGATCTCTTCATAAGATTTTTTCAATCAGGATATTTATGTCTCCTCGAATCTTGCGTTTTCATGTTATTTTATCATGTCGATTCCATGCCTCATCCGTGCATGTGCCCCATTCTTTCGGATCTTTAAGTATCTATGTTTCAGCAGAGTCCTTGAAGTCCCTTGCTTCTAAGGCTGTTTTTTTTCATTTTCACCACTTCTCAGTTGCATTAGTGAATGCTATAAACTTCCGAACAATCCAGTTTGTCAGCATCGTGTTGCGTAGTCACGCTGTGGAAAAATGTTGTCTTTCGTTTATCTCCTTGATATTTCATTTTCTTGGTAACAGTCGCAATTTTTGACCCAGTTCACAGGAGAGCATGCATATCCACTTTTGGTCGTTCTAATTACTGATATTTTTTACAATATCCATGCTGATATCTCCTTTTCATGACTCCTATATTTCTTTATATGAATTCTCTGGGCTATCCGTTGCTGAGGAAACTCCAAGTCATTTAGTCTAACTCCTCATCACAAAACTATATGTCTATTAGTATTAAGCTTCAAATGATCAAACTCTTTATCATTATCGTCCTTAGTCTGCAGTTTTAATGAAACTTAAAGTGAGGATTATTCCCGCATGCGATATCTTTCTCAATAATTTCCTCTTGCGTTTCCCGTTGAAGCGAATGACCTCCACAACAAGGAAAGGTTGTCGTTCTATCTCTCTTCCAAATTTGATTTCCCCATCAAGTTGGATTATACAGTTTAGGAAATTTTTCTGACCATGCCGTCAAAGTGTAAAGTTGTCATTTAGTTTGCGCATGAATACTATTGGTTTCAGCGGTGACTTATCGAGTGCATTTCCCAATTTGTCTATACATTTAATAAAAGAGGTGTGAGTGGAGATCCCATCGTAAGTCCATATATTTGTAGATACGAAGAGATACTTGGTTTCGATGAATTTCCTGAGATAAAATTGTTAGAGGAACCTTCATTTTGAATGAAAGTACATGAAGAAGAGATTCGTTTGTCGATCTCACCAGATGAGGACGGATGA